ATTGTCTGTGTGTGAAGTGGGTAATGCGTGCACAGTCACTTTCAAACTTGGAGAGAAATGACCCAATTGGTCACAGATAGGCTGGATCACAAACGCTGGCCCAGATCCAAAGATTACTTTTATTTTGTTTCACTCTTAGCTCAGGTGCCAAGTTAGGAAAAGATATAAAATCAAAGGTACATGAAGCAGAGGGGCTCACTTCCCCAGAGCCCCTCTTGTTCCTCAAGAAGATGTTTCTGAAATTTGGTGGTCTTGGCAGCCTACTGGGCTTGCTGCATTAATCCGTTTTGTTCAGGCTGCCATGGAGAACTGGAGAGGCAAAGTCGTCACTCAAGTCGTGCAGCTCATTGACGGCTGGCTGCAGAGTTCTCGAGGTCCATTCTTTTCACACCCAGGTCTGGCCTTTACTCTTGCACCACAGTTCCTTCTCCTCGCCCCTTCCAGCAGATCCTCTTCCTCTTGTGTGATAAGCTATGAGAAAGTGTGGTCGTGGGTTTTTTCATTATTAGAGAGGCCCTTATTCTAGTTATGATACCTCAGAGGTCAAACCAGTAGGACTTTCATTTCCCTTACTTCCAGTAGGGACAGGAACACTCTTGTACCTATGTCGTTTTTTGAACAGGAGAGCCCTCAGCCAGAATGTGTACATCTGTTAACACTGCAAGAGAAAAAAATCCCTGAAACTTCTTAGATTCTAGCAAAACATACTTCTGATATCAGATGCAGCTCTCAAACTGCTTTCTGTTTTCTCTGACATAATGAAGCCTTTGGCCATCACTGCTGCTTTGAAAATCAAAGCCTTTGGTCTCTAATGGAATGTTTATAAAAATACTCCATTTTGAAATTTGCTCAGGAAAAGGAAGTATGATAAATGATTTTAGAAATCCCTCTAGCTTGCCTTGGCATTGATTCATTTAATGCTGTGTACTCGGAAATATCTGGAATTAGAGAATAAGGAAGTATTAAAACCCAAGTTAAATAAGCTCTTATCCTCATTGTTTTCTTCCATGGAAGTATAGCATCAGTTATGCATCTCTAATTGCTATTTCTATATGAGCAAGTAAAGTGTCTTTTGCCAAATTTAATATCAGTATCTAGGGTAAGCCAAAAATGTGTCAGAAGTCTCATACGTTTTCATTCTCTTCCTAAGGTGAAAGTGGAAAGTTACTCTCAGTGGAGTGTAGAGCAGCACGCCTGTATAAAAAGAGGAGCTCCACTGTGTGTCTCATTCTCTGTTGCTTTCCTTGGTGTCAGTGACAAAAAGGAAATAAACAGTCGGACATATGGAACGTTTAGTTTACTAATATGGTGACTCCTGATACATGTGAAAGAGGCCCAAGGACCTTTGGATTATCCTATGGTGTTGGCTCTGTCTTAATGTAAAGCATTGATGTATCTTGAAGTAAGAAAATAACATTTATTCAAGAAATATTTAATGAGAAACTACTGTGTACCAAGTTGTAGGGAGCTAACCATGATTTCTGCTTTCCTGGAGCTTATGTTCTAATGAGAAAGAGACAGAAAACAGATAAACTACATGGATCAATTAATTTAGTTGATCAGTTCATTGACTTTCACTATATATATCTTTTGGTTTGCCCACCAGCTCAGGGTTCTTATTAGCATGGTAAAAAGGTACTATTCAAAGTATTATGAAGTATTGAAGTAGAACTTTGGAGAATCGAGGGCAGTGACCTTTTAGAAAACAGCAGCTCCATCAGTGACTCCCCCTTGCTCGTCCCTCTCAGATGTGCTTTGTTGTTGGCCTCTGTTGTTAGTTCTCATGCCACTTTGGCTTTCTCTCCAAAGTAATACAAAAATTACACTTAGGCTATCATTTTGACTTCAACTAGGAACATTTGTTAACTAACTTAAAAAAAAAACATAATAATAAAAAATGAGGGGTATCATCAAATATAGCATCATAAAATGATATTATATCTGAATTTCAGGCTAAAACCTAGAATAAGAAGCTGCTAATATTTGGGGAAACTTTCCTTGTTTGTCACTACTGAGTCCCCAGGGACATCCTATGGGAATAGCTGACTAGTAACATTATTTGATTTTAAATCAAATAATTATTTAAAATCAAATAATTTTGATTTGATTTGATTTTTTTTCCTCATCTGAGGATCAGTTCAGTTCAGTTGCTCAGTTGTGTCCAATGTGACCCCATGGCCCACAGCATTTCAGGCTTCCCTGTCCATCACCAACTCCTGGAGCTTCCTCAAACTCATGTCCATTGAGTCAGTGATGCCATCCAACCATCTCGTACTCTGTCGTCCCCTTCTTCTCCCACCTTCAATTTTTCCTAGCATCAAAGTCTTTTCAAATGAGTCAGTTGTTTGCATCAGGTGGCCGAAGTATTGGAGTTTCAGCTTCAGTCCTTCCAGTGAATATTCAGGACTGATTTCCTTTAGGATGGACTGGTTGGATCTCCTTGCTGTCCAAGGGACTTTCAAGAGTATTCTCCAGCACCACAGTTCAAAAGCATCAATTCTTCGGCACTCAGCTTTCTTTATAGTCCAACTCTCACATCCATACATGACTACTGGAAAAACCATAGCTTTGACTAGATGGACCTTTGTTAGCAAAGTTATGTCTCTGCTTTTTAAAATGCTATCTAGGTTGGGCATAACTTTCCTTCCAAGGAGCAAGCCTCTTTTAATTTCATGGCTGCAGTGATTTTGGAGCTCCCAAAAATAAAGTCTGTCACTGGTTCCATTGTTTCCCCATCTGTTTGCCATGAACTGATGGGACCAGATGCCATGATCTTAGTTTTCTGAATGTTGAGTTTTAAGCCAACTTTTTTACTTTCCTATTTCACTTTCATCAAGAGGCTCTTTAGTTCTTCACTTTCTGCCGTAAGTGTGGTGTCATCTGCATATCTGAGGTTATTGATATTTCATCTGAGGATAGTTTTATTATAAAAATTGCAGAAATAAAAAGAAGTTTTATCTTGGTAAGCAAATTTAAAGCTGTCACTTTTGTTGTTTGCATTAACTAAACATGCTACACAGTTTTTCTGTTAAAAAATATGTAGGTTTGATTATGCCAGAGTAGTTACAATCAGGAACTCACAGTTTTGTTTTTTTAACTCTTTGACTAAGCTGTGCAGGGTCTTTGGACCCTGACCAGGGATTGAACCCACACCTCCTGCATTGAAAGTACAGTCTTAACCACTGGACAACCAGGGAAGTCCCCAAATCCCACATATATTTTTGCTGAATGAACTTAAAGATCTTTATCTACCTTTTAAAATTCTCTTGCAGAAACTGCTGCTCTGTCAAATACCACCTTTACAAACCAAAATTATTTTTCTTTGGCAAAAAAGGAAAACCAGCCATCATTGATTTAACCAAATACTCGTAATTGTAAACTTTATCTTTAAAACAAGGAGGCTAGTTATTGTAGTTGCTTTTATTTTTGTTATACTCATGGTACCTGCTTGATTTTTAGAAGTTGAAGGGAGTATGCTCTTTTTAGGAGTTCAGTTAATTGCAAGGTATAGATGAATATTCAGCAGCCTGTCTTTTAAGGTCCTTTCTAATCCTGAGATTTTATGAGTCTATATTTACCTTTGCCCTTATTCTTATCCCTTAGTGACAAGAGCAGGAATCATGTTAGGGGAGAGTTGGGGAGTGAATTGGGCTTTAGTTTAGGAGGAGGTGATGGGTGTTGAGTGGGAGTCATAGAACTTACAGTGGGTGACTCAAAGAGGTACAGTTACTGTTGACTCCCTCCTTTTATTTTTTTAATACTTAGTACATTTTATTAATTTTAATTATTTTTGTAATTAGGGAAAAAAAGAAATATAAACCCATAGCTTAAAGCAATTTTTAAAAATAACCTTCTCTTAAGTACCTTGCTCCAAACAGACAATCCCTGAATTCTTCAAGATGAATCTCTATTTAAGTCATTGAAAAGATGATTAATAAAAAGCCTTCTAAAATACTTTTGTGGAGAGAAGTTATTTTTCATGGGATTAGAATATAAAACCCATGTTTATTGACTCCTATGAAGCAGTTTCCTGAAAGATGAAATTTTCCTTGGTGGTCAGATCAGATAGAATTTAAGGTAGATGTTTTAAGTCCCTTGGAGCTGGACAGTCCTACCAATCATTTTATCACCAGCTCCAAATATATCAGCAGCCATACTAGGTGCTCAAAAACTGCTTTCTGAGCCAAACCCAGTACCCATTCTTAAGGGAATAGTGAACACAAGATAATCCCAAGTGAGAGGAGTGAATTATTGTTGTGTTCTTTTTCTCATACTTTTCAGAAAATCTGAAAATGTTTTTATGTGTATTACATTGGAACCTCAAGCACTGGCTTTGTATCTCAAAGTTGGAAGAAATGAGATTGATGTCCCACACAGTTGTAAAATGCCAAAAATAAGTAGACCTGAAATGAGTTAAAGCCCAGTATTCAGAAAGGCCAAGTAAAAACTTCAGATCAAGGGTAGCTGTAATTGAAAGGGTCCAAATAAGTATTTAAAACCACTCCCTGCTGGAACTGCTAAGATTTCTGAATTTCAAATTGGCATTTTATGTTTGACAAGGTGACATTGTATAAGAAATGTATTGTAAAACACTGCTGTACAATAGGAAAATGATTGAATGTAAATATTTCAAGATGTGGACCACTGTTCAAATGTTATCATAAATCTTTGCCATTGTTTTAGGGTATAACTCTTCATGCATATATGAGCTGAATTGAAAGCGCCAGCTCTTGGGGAGGGAAATCATCAGCAAGTTTCTGCCTCGCTGTCAGCACTAGTGTGATTTGACCACAGAAGTATCCTGTTAGGTGTTTCCTGTTATTATCATATGCTTGTAATTACATAAATGGGGAAACCCTCTTTTGAAGATACTACATCTGTCCTTGGTCTTATCCTGTTCGTTGAGCAGTCTGAAATGGCACTGTTACAAGAAATTAGGATGGGGGGACACAGTTTGCACTCTTAAACTGTAAGGTTAACTATCCTCCCATTCCTTGCAGGTTTGGAAGGTTTACAGTGGCTGCTCTGCAGTCCAAAGTAGAGCAGTATGAACGTGAAACCAATCGTCTCAAGAAAGCACTGGAACGAAGTGATAAATATATAGAGGAACTGGAGTCTCAGATTACACAGCTGAAGAATTCAAGTGACGAGAAGGAAGCGATGAATGCCATTTGTCAGAGAGCACTTTCTACAGACAGCAAGGGGAACAAAGGCACTGAGGAGGATATGGCATCCAAGAACCAAGGTGATGGTGCCAGAAAGCAGCTCGGCTCAGCCCCCTCGAGTTCTCATCTGGCAAAACCTTCTAGCAGTTCTGTCAGGCAGGAAGGCACCGGCAAAGCAGAAGCAAACTGTTCTAAGAACCAAGACCTGTATCAGAAGCGAGTGGAAACAATGCTCACTGTGACAGATACAAGTATGGATACCTATCTGGAAAGAGAATGGGGAAATAAGCCAAGTGATTGCGTGCCCTACAAAGATGAAGAACTCTATGATCTTCCAGCTTCCTGTACTCCTTTGTCCCTTAGTTGTCTTCAGCTCAATACGCCAGATAACAGAGAGAGCTCTGTGGTCAAAGCAGGAGGGTCTAAAAAGCAGTCAAACCATCTCAGAAAATTGATGTTTGATGATTTCTGTGATTCTCCGAATGTGTGTAATAAAGATTCTTCAGAAGATGATAGAAGTGAGAGTGAAAAGAAATCAGAGTGTTTTACTTCCCCAAAGACAGGGTTTTGGGATTGTTGTTCCACAAGCTATGCCCCCAGCTTGGACTTTGAAAGCTCAGAGGAGAACACAATAGCAAATTGTGTTGGAGAAATTTCTTCAAAATTGAGTGAGAAACCAGGTTCATGTTTATCCAAGAGGTTGAATTCTCTCCGCTCTTTTGAAATGAATCGGACAAGAACATCCAGTGAAGCATCAATGGATGCAGCTTACCTTGACAAAATCTCGGAGCTGGATTCAATGATGTCAGAGTCAGACAATAGCAAGAGCCCCTGTAATAACGGTTTTAAGTCGCTGGACTTGGATGGGTTATCAAAGTCATCCCAGTGCAGTGAATTCCTTGAGGAAACAGATAAGTTGGAAGAAAGAACTAAACCAAATCTTTCTAAAGGTTCTCTGACTACTGATCAGTTAGAAAATGGAAATGAATGGAAACCCAATTCTTTTTTTCTCCTCTCTCCATCTGACCAAGAAATGAATGAAGATTTTTCACTCCATTCCAGTTCAAACCCTGGAACAAATGAAATCAAACCACCAAGTTGTTTGTTTCAGACTGAGTTTTCCCAGGGTGTTTTGCTAAGCAGTACAAACCGGCTATTTGAGGATCAAAGGTTTGGGTCATCTTTGTTTAAGATGTCCTCAGAGATGCCTGGTCTTCATAACCACCTTCAGTCTCCTTGGTCTACTACTTTTGTGCCTGAAAAGAGGAATAAAAATGTGAATCAGTCAGCAAAAAGAAAAATCCAGAGCAGCCTTTCCAATGCCAGCCCATCAAAAGCAACTAAAAGTTGACAAATTAGAAAGATGTCATTTATGTTTTTGTCCTGAGAGGAATATAAGGTTTTAAAGTTACTTGTTTTTCCCCTCATGAAAGCTCTGTACAATTTTGAATTGATAATCTTTAGTCAGGTGTCAAGTCAGAATGGTGGATTAGCCTGTACCCTGGATACTTTTGTTCATTTTGAAGAGTTAATCTTTTCATTTTCATTTATTGATCTTTTTTGACCAGAGAAGTTAGGGAGAGGGTTCCTTTTGTGTCTGGTTTGGGTATATTTTGTTTTCTTGAATCTTGATTTATCTATTCGGATACAATGACCTATTAGTAAGCCTCAGTTATCTTCAGGATTTGGATTTCTTAAATAAAAGCTTTGGTGCAGTCTATATACTGTTCATAAGACACTTTTCTTTAAAGCTTCCTAGGGTGGAAATTACTTTCCTGCCCCTTTTTATTTATGTTTAGTGATAGTCTAACTTTTATTCAAGGCCACTATGGAGAAACAGCACTCAAACCTTAGTCCAATATTCATTGGCTCTTTTTTTAGGTTTTACATATATGTTTGCATTTTTAACAGTGTGTTTTGTCTAGTTTTTGTGAAAATGTGTTGCTAGTAAGAGAGAGTACATTTTCTGTACGAAATATTTGTTTTTTGTCCGGTAGCTTTCATTCTTTTATCTTTTTGTGTGTGTTGAAAGTCAGAAATTTGCCTGCTTTAGCAAGAAGGCAGGGAACAGTTGGTTTGGAGAAGATTAAACATGGTAGCTTTTCATTATTTCAGATAGGTGCAAAAGCATTCATTGCCAAGTTCTTGATCCACTTATGTCCCAGGAGAGCTTTCTTTGGAGTGGTAAAGTCCTTGTTTGCATGTTACTGTTCTTTATGGAAACTCGGTATGCATGGTAGTGGTCTTGCTTGCACTGTTTTACTTACTTAAGAAAAAGAAGTTTCAGTTGGCTAAAAGATTATCTTTTATATAGGACAAAAAAAAAGATTGTTTCTCATGAAGAGTGTTGAGAGGAGGGTGAAAATAGGTGAGCTAAGCACAATTTTTAATTTAGGTTCTTAAAAAGTATATTCTAAACATGTTTGGTATGCCTGTATAGGCCTTTAAAAATGGTTTGTATGTTAATGACTTGTTTATCTAATGTGCACTGAACATTTTACATTAATACTGTACTGTTTTACATTAATACTGCATGCTTTTCTATGTGAACTGAATAAAGGATGTCATAAACACTGTAATCCTTGATGTTGTCCCATGTTGAATTAGCCTACAAAGACCAGTACAACTTAGCATTTTTTATTGTATTGCTCTTATTATACAGGGGTTGGCAAACTGTGGCCAGTGGTCCCAATTCTGACCTGTGCCTGTTTTTGTGAAAGGCCTGTAAACCAAAAATGTTTTATACATTTTTAATGGTTTTTAAAAATCCAAAGAATATTTCATAACAGGAAAATGATCTGAGGTTTAAATCTCAATATTTCTAGACAAAGTCTTGTTAGGACACAGCTGCACGTTTTACGTCTCATCTGATAGGACTGCTTTAGCACTGGTAGAGCAGAGCTGAATAGTTGGAGCAGAGACCATATGGCCCACAAAGCCTAAAATATTTACTGTTTGGCCTTTTACAGAGAAATTTGCTGACCTTTCTTGTAATTGACTCAAGATGCAATGAAACCATAGAAGTATAAAAAAATCACTTTTATGAGTTGAAAAATCATGACCTCTGCTTTTAGAAGTAATAAGAATCTCCCCCACCCCCCACCACCCCGACAAAAGGCTTAATGTAAAGTGTAGTTTTTGTTCTATCATATTTTTTCCAATAAGTATTTGTGCATGACATTGTCTTTCTGATAATCTTTAAGTTAGTGGGTAAACTTTCATAGATACTGCCATTTAAATATCTTTGACAATTGGATATGCATTTGAAGTTCTAGTAAATGTAGAAATCTAAAATCTTTCTGAATAGAGTAAACTTGGGGGTAAACCTCACTCTAATTCTGTCTGTAATTTTTTTTTCACCATGAGTGTGTTAGTTTTTAATACAAACTGACACTGTGTCATGGAAATGCAGAGTGTGTAGCCTGATTGACTAATGCCTAATGGGGGTGAGGGTGTCTCTCTTGGGCTGGAGTATTTCCCAGCTGCTTCAGAAACACTGCTTCATCCTCTCCAAAACACTATCTCATGTATCATATTAAAATAACCTGACATTACTCAATTAAAGGAAATAATCTGTGCAGGATTTGATTTTAATGATCCTTCACATTTGTACTCCTAACCTCTTTACCATAATCTCAAATGTCATGACAGATATGGTAGTCTCATTTTGTTGTTGTTTAGTCGCTCAGTCATGTCCGACTCATTTACGACCCTATGGACTGTAGCCCACCAGGCTCTTCTGTCCATGGGATTTTTCAGGCAAGAATATGGGAGTGGGTTGCCATTTCTTCTCCAGGGGAACTTCCTGACCCACAGATTGAACTCTAGTCTCCCGCATTGACAGGCGGATTCTGTACCACTGATCCACCAGGGAGGCCCAGTCCCATTTTAAAATGTATCTATTGTATATACACACTCAAAACAAAAGCTACCTTTTATTGATACCAGGTACTCTGCTAGCCTCTGTCTTGTGTAATCTTTTCAAACTCTGTGAGCCAAGAATTTTCTCCAGTTTACCAATCAGTGAATTGAGAATTAGTGATCACACAGCTAGAATGGGCTTAGAACCCTGTCCTGGAGCTGGGCCTCAGACTCCAGAGATTGTAGCATTCATCCCTCAAGCATCAGATGCATGGGAGCTCACATTTGCAGGCCAAAGGATGAATGGATTTGAAATTTCCAAGGATTTTTTTTTAAGTAGTATTTTGGAAGTATTAGCATGTTTCTTTTCAAGTAGCATTTAACTCCTGCCCATGCCCTGGATCTAAGGCTGCTCCTAAATGGAAGCTCAGGGATGGGAATTGTGTGTGTGCCACTTTTAAGTTTATAAAGATTCACATTAACTCCGACATTTAGATGAATTTCAAAATAGCACTAAAGCTATATTTGAAAAAGATGCGCAAGTGATAAAGGGAAAAGACATCACTTCATGTCTTTATAAAAACAGTACCTTTTGACTGCTCATCTCTTTAAAATGCTATAGCTAAGCGAATGTGGCAAGATGCTGGGTATTTTTTTGACATGACCTTTAGTGTTTATCTTTCAATGTTTAAAATCTCCATCCCATTCAAAATTACATGTCTTTTTCCTGTTTTAATGGATCAACTGAGACTTAAAACGGCAGACATTAAGATATATAGCCCCTTAATATCAAATCTGCTGTGTTTTCTTATAAACTCATGTTTACACTGGTTTGAAACCTCTAAAGGTACCACTGAACAAGGGAAGAACTTTGGTCTTGATTCTTAAGATGTTTCAGGAACTTGTTTCTATATACTTGAATGGTATTCAATTATTCAAAGTGTAATTCATGCATTAGAATTTCCCTTCCTCATTTTTGTACCTGTGGATGATATTTGTAGAGAACAGTTTCATTTCATGGAGTTTGGCCTATTAGATTAGAAGGGTTTCCTGAAGCCTCATAAGAAGGTCTCTGTTCCTATTCTAGGGAGTCCTACCACAGTCTTTGCCTATCATGATGTAACCCGATCCTTTTAATAATACTTGGCAGAGAGAAAACCTTTTAAGCAATGATCTCAGAGTGCATAGTGAACATTTATTGCCTAATTCTCGGAACCCCACTCAGAGAGGAAGCATCTATTAAGTTGCAGTTTTCTTTTAAGGACCCATCTGAAGCTTAGGCTTGGTTGATCTTCAGTCTGCTGTGACAGAGGCAGTCTAGAATACCTTTGATTGAAGCTCCACTTCTTGAAACTAGGTACATTCCTAGGTCTGATTTGTCTTAATAGGGAGTAGATCCTCTCTAATGTTAGTTGGATTAACCAAGTGTGTAGAAGTGTGCCTAGTGTGACACATAATTTGAGGATGTAAAGATCCAATACCCTAGGGCAAGGATTTCACATAGACAAAAACCAAGGAGGACCTAGGTCTGGCCCACTTTAATTCTTCTGTAAAATTGGTGAGTACAAAAGTGTCTGCACCGGGGATAGCCTGGAGCAGAGAGGAAAGCTGATGGCTTCCGAAGCGCTATTTGATTGGGTCTTTAGGATGGATAAGAGCTTGATGCAGAAGAGAACATCGACTTCTGCGTGTGTACCCGCTATCCTGCCAGTGGGCGCCTATTCCCAGCCGTCTCGGAAGAGGTGCTGAAGAAACCCTAGTAGGGCTCCCGCTGGACAAAGACTTCCCGATTGCTTCAGCCTGCGCTGCCAAGTTTGGCTTTGGTCCGCCGCCTCTCTTTGGGCGTCCCCTGAGACTCCAGGCTCGCCCTCGCCGCCAGAACCGGCGTCCTTGCCGGCGAGACTGTGACTCCCTGGGCGCTGGCAGGCTCAGGAGGTGGCAGAGCTGGGCCATCATCTGCCCATTAAGCCGAGGCTTGGCGCTCCGAGGGCCGGAAGGCGCGACCTCGCTTCACTCACCGGGTCATTTGTGCTGGGGGCGGGGAGGTGAGGTCTGGCCCGTCTGTCTGGGCTGCGATCCCGCTTTCTTCCCTCTGGTGCCGGCGAACCCCTCCTTCCCGGATTCTCGAAACCAGTGACGCTCCCCAACCTCCCCAAGGCTCCCGGGACAACAGACCTGCCCGCGCCCCTCCAGCTCGAGTTTCCCGCGCTCTTGAGGGCGCTCTCAGAAGCTCCCGTTCAGGCTCCACCCAGAGAAGGGACCCGGGCCGAGGATTCCTTTCATTTTATTACTACTCGCGAAACCTGGCGATTAAGACGCGAAACCAACAAAGAGTTTTCTTTCCACCTTAACCTTGCACACAATCCTTTAACAAATTAATTAATCCTAATGAATTAACACTTCATTTATTTAAACGCGCTACAGTCCATGAATTAAATTTTCATGCAGTGATTAAAGGCTGTTAAAATATGCATGATTTCGTTAAAATTT